TTTTTTTTTTTTTTTTTAGATTTATTGGCAGAAAAGTTTTTCCAAAACTTTTATTATATTTCGCTCTCGATAAATAAAAAGAGAATTCATTCAGACGATCGAACTTGAATTATAAATAACACGAATAAATAACCAAATGAATGAAGGATGTAGAGTTGAAGAAACGATGAGTAGAAAAATACTTCAGAGAATAATAATTGAATTTAAAATTTTATCATTTCTTTTATCTTTTCAAATATTAAAAGAATTTTTTAATTTGTAGAAAATTGAATCTAATTGCCTTTTCATTAGCTTAACTATTTTAAGTAATATCTTTATGAAGTTGAGAAACACTGTCAGACAAGATAGGAAAATAAACCTATGTAATTTTTTATCTCTCTGTTATTTTAAAAATCCAGAAAGAAATCTTACCTCCTAATATTGTTTAAATCTATATTATATCTACACTATATATAAAATCTGAATTGAAATTGTTATTTGAAATTTCCAAGATCGAAACTGTTTGATTTTCGCATCTTGTTGATTTTTCAATCTTCTTTTTTCCAAATAAATCGAAGTTGATTCAACGTTTCGTCCAAAATGAATTAATAAAAGAGATGTATGATATTATTGAAAGAGGGTAGAATTAATTCTTCTTTTTCGAGTGAGAGAGTTGCTCCTTGTTGACATTGAATATTTTACTATTGAATGAGAATCTTTTTCGAGAGTTGTCTAGATATTTGGAATACTCTTAAGAATCACAATTTCGACGATATAATCTTGATTCTAAATTTTTTTTTTCTACTAAATTCCTTCAAAACACGTATTATATATTACAGAATCACAATTTTGACTCTCGTTGTACATTTACCTAAGCCACGTATTAGGATGTATCGATCGATTTCCGGTGATTACGTGTAAACGTATAAGCGTACAAACGTAGAGACGTTCGTACATACCCTTAATGTTAAACCAATAATTTGATGTAAACGCTTGCCTGTATACTTTGCGAAATTCTACGTATAATTAATTAAATATGATACGTATTTCCATTGCCCCTTGTACTTCCTGCTACTGTTTTACATAGAATCTGAACGAAATTCTTCCGAATTCGAAACCGATTACGGGCTCAAAGCTCACATCGAGGAAGGATAAACATCGATTAACCTCTTTGCGAGATATCTCGCGACCCAATTTCCCTCGTGCGATGCTGTAGATGAGATATCTGGCGATCGATGTCCCCTGTGTGACGTCTTGGACGAGATATCTCGCGTGTTCAACTCTTGGAGAGCGAGGTTGGCTCGAGATTCTTGGGTATATTTTGTAGCAAGTCTTAACGATCTTCTTCTTGTTGTCGTTGGATTTTTTTACCAATTTTTGTCAATATATTTACTATGAATTTTTATTCGCTGTGTTGTGTGTAATTCGATATTCTTTTATATTAAAGAAAAATAATTTTTTTAATGGTGAATTGTAATTTTAAGAGATTTTTTTAATATTAATGATCTTGTTTAATAATTATGAATGGAGATTTACGTTTACTTCACATTTTATTAGAACGAATTATTTTATTAGCTTTTGCAAGAATTTGCAAGATTTAAAACTTTGCATGCATATGTGATTGCAAATTCGAGGTGGTTAAATTCATGTATGATTCATATGGTTAAATTCATGAAATAGTAAGAAAAATTTAACATTAGAATTATGACTTAATGTATATATATTTAAATAGAATTAAGTATTTCATATTTGAAATAATGAAAGAGCAATAATGTTTTTAACATTAGAATTATTAATGTAAATATACTTACAACAGATACACGAATAATTGTAATCAAATTAATATAATAACTTTGCATGTGTGATTGCAAATTCGAGGTTGCTAAATTCATGACATATGATTCATATATGGTTAAATGAAAGAGTAATAAAAATTTAACATTAGAATTATATACATATACTTCAATAAAATTAAGTATTTTATATTTGAAATAATGAAAGAGTAATAATGTTTGTAACACTAGAATTATTAATGTAAATATACTTACAACAGATACACGAATAATTGTAATCAAATTAATATAATAACTTTGCATGCATGTGTGATTACAAATTCGAGGTTATTCATATATGATTCATATATGGTTAAATTCATGAAATAGTAATAAAAATTTAACATTAGAATTATGACTTAATGTATATATATTTAAATAGAATTAAGTATTTCATATTTGAAATAATGAGAGAGTAATAATGTTTGTAACACTAGAATTATTAATGTAAATATACTTACAACAGATACACGAATAATTGTAATCAAATTAATATAATAACTTTGCATGTGTGATTGCAAATACGAGGTTGCTAAATTCATATATGATTCATATATGGTTAAATGAAAGAGTAATAAAAATTTAATATTAGAATTATGACATATACTTAAATAAAATTAAATATTTTATGTTTGAAATAATGAAAGAGTAATAATGTTTGTAACACTAAAATTATTAATGTAAATATACTTACAACAAATACACGAATAATTGTAATTAAATTAATATAATAACTTTGCATGTGTAATAATATAATAACATTGCAAATTTGAGGTTGCTAAATTCATATATGATTCATATATGGTTAAATGAAAGAATAATAAAAATTTAACATTAGAATTGTGTATATATACTTAATGTACATATACTTCAATAGAATTAAGTATTTCGTATTTTAAATAATGAAAGAGTAATAATGTTATATATTAATATAATAAAAGTAAATCATTTAAGATCGAATCAGGATTAGATATTTCATATTTGAAATAAAAAAGGGATTACAAAATATATTTCAAAATTTTATATAAATATATTTTTAAATTTTTTATACAAAATATTGGAAAGTTGGTAAAAGTAGGTGAATCTATATATAAAAAACTAAATCGAAAATATAGAATCATATTTTTCAGTAGCTTCATTTTCAAATAAAACGATATTGAAGAATTCTTCGAGAATGCGTACATTCGCGCACATAATCACATTTCCATTTATGTTTGAAAAATACCATGTGCTCTATTCGTATTGCTATTTCAATTTGCATAATACATGAGATGATAAGATGTGAACATTGAAATGAAATTCTATCTTAACAGTTCTATCTTCATTCTTTTAATCCAACTCGCAAGTTAATTCGCTCTTTCAAGATTTCAACGATTTGAATGATGATCTCCATAGTAATTAGCAACTTATACATATGCAACACGTGCATCTAATGCGAGAATCATGTCACTATATTTTTAATTACTGTTCGCAGATTACTATCAGATGACTGAGAATTTGATTTGAATATAATATAACAAGCCATTGTTGGATATTCAATTTTTTTTTTTTTTGATATCATCATCTTATGCTCAGAATAATTCTGCTTTTATGAAATTTTCCTCCAATTTGATAATTGGAATATATATAATTAACTAACAAGCTAAGATTAATCTCTAGATTAATTATTCTTCTTTTTTCACTTATTGTTAATTTTCTATATATTAGAAATTGACAATAAGTGATATAAAAAATATATAATATAGAAAATTAAAAGGAACAAGCTTAAGAATTTTGATTAATAAATTGATCTGTTGAGACCAATTTTTTCTATGTTGGATTATTAATTCACTTATATTTATATATCATCGTGTACATTTTTACATAATTAATTTATTCGAATACAAATGAATCTTCATGATCAAAATTTATTATAAATTCTTAAAAAAAAAATATACATTTTTGATTTAGTTTTTCATGTATTACTAATTCGATAAAATTTTGTATATAAGAAACACAGATTTCGTTTTGAAAATCAAAAAAATATAGAAAGAATAGAAAGTTCCTCATCTTTATCCATATTGATAAGGAAGCAAATTATTTGAATTAAGGAATAATCATATTATACTTCATTAAATAGCATTCAAACAATATTAATATTAGTTTGTTTTTATTTATTATTTTATTAATTACAAGTTGTGTACACATTTGTTATTTAATTTTGTACTCGTTATTTTCTTTTGTAGCAACGAGGTCCAGTGCAAAATCCGTTTCTAAATCTGTTTATTGTTAAACCTCGTCTAATTGAGAAACATTATCTAATAGACAATGTCTACCTACAATGTCTGGCGTCATTGCCCAATTGTTTGCAGACAATGTATGTAGACTGTTTACGGACAATGTCATGTTCGCATCTAACAATGTCTTTATCTTTGACTGAGATTGTAACGTGATTTATAAAGTATAATATAAAGTAATATAAAGTAATGTAAAGTAATAAAAGTAATATAAAGTATATCCATTTTTCAATTTATAGAAAATATATAATTAGAAAAAAAGAAAGAAAAGAAACGAAATTGAGATGTAAATAATCTTCTTTAAACAAGTAAATCTTGAAATTAGCTTTGAAATTTAAGAATTTTGTTCAAAAAATCATTTTGAAATTCTATTACAAAAAGTTGATCCAAAAATAAAAAAAAGATGATCAATTTTTTGCAGCAATTTATGACATTAATTATCTAGCTTAACATTTCGTTTATTAGTTTAATATTTTATTTAGACGTTTTATCATCATTTAACTGCAGATATTGTCTCTTATTTTCCATTCGAATGGAAGATAAAATATACTCACCTGTAGATCGTTCATGGACTATTTTATCTTTCATTATTTGCGGATTATGCAAATTGTTTATTGGACACATGTCTGCAGATAATTGTATCTCAGTTTGAGGCTTTATTTGCACCCATAAGTCTTCACTGTTACTTAATCCCGTTTCAAATGACAATCGAGACGAGATTATGTTCGTGTTTTGTGTTGAAGATATAATACACAGCTTTGCCAGACAAGGCTCTAAATTTTCAGTACATGACATCACATTCTCATTTGGGAGTAATAGTGGGGGGGGAGAAAAAGCTACCAAGGAGAGAATAACATGATACGATTGCCACACCATCTACCGGAATACTTATGTTAAGGTATGTTTTCATGCGATACTAAATATCATGTTTTTCTTTGTTTTGTGATCATATCTGTGATTGTACATTTCTTAACATCTCGTATTCTCGTTAATTTTATTTTTCATTTTTGCGATTTTTAATTTTATATTTTTCTTCTATAATTAAAACTAAATTATATTTTTATTCATATATCGTAACAATATTTCTGTTACCTTAATAATAAATTAAAAATAATAACAGAATTCATTTCTGTTTATTTCTTTTCGAATTCAAAAAAGTAAATAGATAGATATATATATAATATATTTTTATGAAAAAGAAAAAAGTAGAAAATAACAAAAAAAATACTTTATTTTCCTTCTTTATTTTTAAAATTAATTTACATAATTTTTCACATAATCATCATTTACTCTACATTTCTACTACTAGTTTTTATAATTTGTTTATGAAAAAATTAATATCTTTTTCTCGAAATCACAATCCATCATATAGTTCAAATTTAGTATTTAGTGATTTTCATTAAGTAAAATTAAAGGAATTAGAAAGATAATCATTTCAGTTGTGATGAAAACATAAACATCTGTTGTGAAGAAATAATTTCAAAATTATATAAATTAATACAATAAATAAATTATTTAAACACATTTAAAATTAATACAACATTTAATGGAAATATATTGCAGTATAATAATTATATAAAAAAATAAATACATAACTTTAAAAATAAAGAATAAAGATTTCTTTTTACTATTGTTTCATAAAGATATCTTTCTTTATTTAAAAGCAATGTTTTTCGTTCTCTACATTACTATATCATTGCCAAGTAATATACTATATAATCAAACGTAAGTATAGAAATATTTATCGCTTCAAATTGACAATAGCATCGTCATATAGCTCGTCCTCTTTAAACGTATTTACAGTAAAAAATCTTTCGAGTTTTGATGGAAATTGAAACGATATTTTCTCGAACGCATTATCGACGTATCCCAAAACGTGATGAAATACATTATCCCACGCAACAGCTGTAAGGGATTCCCTTGCCGTTCGAGAAATTTCATTTCCGCAAACGACTCGCGCGAAGACGTGTCGGGAATGGAAGTTTCTCGAGACGATTGAAAAGCTGGGAATGGGCGAACGGGTCAATCGTTCCAGTGTCCTGCAAGCTCGGCCAACGATTTACATCCAAGATCGTGCATGAATCAAGGGTGTTCCTACGGTGACGAATCGCCTCGTGTTATGAATATTTACGAGCAAGTCCAGCGCCGATTTCACTCGTGCGAAATTTCTCAACGAGAATTTGTCAAGAAACAAACGCCATCGTTCGGCTACGACGTGGAACTACTTGTTACAGCTCGATGCGTGATCCAGCTTAATCCCTTAACAGTTTAGATCTCACCTCTGGAATCCACCATTTACGATTCTCACCAAATTCCCGATGTAATATTTAAGGGAATTTAGGGTTAAGGCTACCGGGCGGGGTGTTCATAATTCCTGAAATTGAAGCTATACGACCTCAATTATTGAGGTGTTGGCAGAGTAATGGATGTGTTCTTTAATATCCCCATTTTACCTTAAAGTCCCTTATGCCAAGGGATAATGGAATTCGTGATAAGGTTAACGGTAGATATAGAGAGAAATACATATATCTACAACACTAACAGATAGTTTTGGACAATGATTATAATGCAATTCAAAAATCATAATTTTTTCGTTCTTTCTATAAAACTGTTGGAGAAAAATTTTTTATAGAAAAAAAGTGTTTATATGACGTCTCATTTTTTATTATTTTTGTGATAATGTAGTATAGGATTATAAATTAACAATGATCAAATTTAATATTATTGTAACTATGATTTGAAAATTGATTAATTTCTTTAATATTAGAATTTCTAGGTATAGCATTTTTATGAATAAATAATATTAATGATATTTGATTATTATTTCCATCATTAATATCATTATTATTAAGAAATTTATTTTATCCAAGATCAGATACAGATTGAATTGTTTATTTCTTTATATCATCTCCTTGTTGATTTTTTCTCTTCATATATAAGAAATTTTATCAATTATAACTTCATTAAATTTAATGGTTACTATTAATTACTAATAATTATATATTTGCAACTTGTGAACGCAATGACATATTTTAATGACATATATTTATCACATATTATATATATATTTTTATTTTGATGTATAAAACATTTTTGGCCAGAAAAAACTGGAACACATAATATACATAATATACACATATATTGTTAACATTGATCCACATATTTTGCGGAAATTTTATCACAAAAGATTTGAGATGTATTTTTAATATTTTTTTCGATTTGACGATAATATAAATCATTCATGGCATTTATTTCTAAGAATTTTTATTAGAGATTCAAGATTAATTATCGCATCATTAATATTCGTCATATTAATAACCAGCTGGTTTCTTCTTTTTCTTATTTTTAAAACGTTGAAGAAACATTTCAAGATGAGAAAGTAATCACAAAATTGGAAAAAGCGTTGAAAATGATTTTGAAATTGGCTTGTAAAAATGCATTCGCAAATTGAAAAAACACTTTCATAGTAATTTATATTTGTAAAAAGAAAATTTAAATTTTTTTATACCTTGAAACAATTTATGACGAAATAAGAGTTTTCAAACTTTTTAAACTTGTATTTATGTCCCAGTTATTCTAGTCAAACTTTAATAATTCTATTATTAATGTCATATAAACATTATATGATATTTTTATGACTATACCATTATATATCATTGTGAAAACATTGTCAAAAAATTATACGAGACGTGAAATAAATAGCAACAAACAATGTCTATTACTACTTACAAAATATGATTAAATCAATATTTTAGAATCGTCAGAAGATGTAATAATATAATTCTACAATTCCATTTCAAAATGGACCAATATTTTTATTTGCTAATAAAACAAGATCAAAGCAAACATCAAAGAGTTTTGAATTCAATCTTCCACATTCGTTGCCAAATTTATATCGATAAGAATGGTGAACATTTTGAAACATAGTTGTAGAAATAGAAATATTTCCTATTACATATAAATATTGATCATATTTAAACAATTATCATTATCATTTTGTCATTATAACAATACTTTCTATAACATATATTTATATCACATATCATATACATATATATATACATATTTTTATTTTGATATATAAAATATTTTTGGCCAGAAAAAACTGGAACACACATAATATACACATATATGGTTAACATTGATCCACGTATTTTGCGCAAATTTTAACATTTTTCCCTCAATAAAGAACCAATGATTTTCGTATCGCGACAATCTTCATTAACTACACACAGTCAATTAAATTCACACAGCGTATAAAAGAAACGAATCGGATTCAGGGACAGGTCAATGAGGCTAAAATGAATAGTCCAACTTACTAATTGAAAGTGAGGTTATTGAAATTTCAAGTTGCAGGGAAATCGTGCGCCACGTGGAAAAAAAGGGAGGGGAGAGGCGGAGGGAGGGGAGAGGAATGAATGCGCCCTCTTTCTAATTACTTCGACCGGGATTCGTTGAACAAACGATCAGAGCGGCAAACGGGCGAAATAACGAAATTCCATCTGCTCGAGCCCTTTCATTGGGCAACGACATTTCATGGACGCGGAACGCGATTCTCCGCCGACTGGCAACTTTCTTTCGCGAATGAAAAGGGAGAATCCCGTGAAAGAGGGCGGCGCGACGCGAACAATGCCGGGGGCCAAGATAGAGGAAAACTAGCCACGCGTTTGTGGAAGAAAGGGATCTCTTTTGAAAAGGAGCAATTGAGCGTTCCCCTTCTTAGCCAAGATAAAGCGATTCGCGGCCATCCTGCTAATTTTTTAACAAGTTATCCGATTAACGAAATCGATTTGCCAGCCAACGATACACTCCGACCTTTTGACATTCGGTTTTCGTTAATAATTGGGTTTCGTCCCAATATACGAATCCAATCCGTATTTATCGATCGGAATTTTGTATTTAAGTATCAACTTCTTCGAGCATTCTAATCCATTTTTCGTTCTCTTTGTGTCGTTGATTTATTAATATTGTAATATAGAAGAAAATTCTGACATGTATGAAAATTTATAAGGAATGAAATTGAAGGAATGTTATTTATATATTGTGTTACAAGAAAATTCACCTAAAAATTAATAATTTTTCTTATATAATATTTTATCATATTTTATATATTTGGCTTATATGTTTATATTTATATTTATATTTTATATGTTTATATTTGGCTTATATATTTGGCTAATAGATATAGTGACAGATGTATTGACAACTTTTATTGCAAATTTTTATTCTTAAATTATTCTTAATTAATAGAGAAATAGCTAAGATCCTTGAGTTTTTTTAATTTTTGTGATTGTTTATTCCTTGCATTATTCTAAAATAAGATTTTCGTTATTCATATAATACACCCAAAATTTTTTTATAACATCTGATATTTTAAATAAATTTTTTTATATTTAACGAAGTACAATTCTATAAATATTTATTAGGTATTTGTTATTGTATTTATTCATATTTGTATAATCAATGGCAAAATTCATCTTTTATTCTTTTTAAAAATTTCATAGAATATATATAACATTTTATTACAAAAATTGTTTAATAAACATTTTAGTTGTACATATGATAAGTATTTTTAAGTACATTCATAGTATGTCGAAATACATTGTTTCACTATTGTTTCACCTTCCATTAACGCAATGGTCACTTGCGAAAAATATTCTCAGAGAGCTTTCAAGAAGAATAGCAAACTCTCTAGATAGATTTCAGTTCAAGGATTAAAGGATTATTGGTTGTCTTGGCGGTCATTTTGTTCTTTGCTAGAATTCAACATGATTCGTTGAAATAGTTTTAAACGGAAGTACAACTGTGAAGTTGTGCAGTGTTTCTGTTTCTAACGCATTTATTTGTATTTCTCAACTAGGATATTTAAAGTTGACGATGAATGCATACATGTATATATATATATATATATATAGAGGAAGTTTCCTTTAAATGAAATCTCTTTCATAAAGGATTGAAGTTATCAAAAGAATATTTTAATAAATATTTGTTTGATAAATTCAAATCAAAGAATATTATATAATGCAAATTATTTTTTTGCATTAATGTAGATTAAGTAATCAGGAAGATTTTAAGTCAACTTCATTTTTTTTTTTTAATAGAACTTTTAGAACTATACAATTTTGAATGTAGTAATTGATTTATTTGAGCATTCTGTAAATTTTTTATGAAAAAACTAGGTTTAGGAGATTTTATAATTTAAAGTTTATGAATTTTTATAAAATAAAAAAAGAATGTTATGAAAAAAATGTTCTTATAAAAATTGTATAAAAGTCGTTTGATATTACATTATATAATAATAATAATAATTTTGTTTTATTTTTTTAATTGAAATCATATAATTTTTAATGCATAAATTATTTATTAAAAATCATTAAGTTATTTATGTTTGAAAAGTTTTAAATTATAACTTGAAGAAATATCTGAGATCATATTGTATGCTCATACTATTCATACTCTCCTTGTCTTCCTATGTAAGCTTTACAAACTTCAAATCAAAATATTTCTTAAATTGATACTTTTTCTACATAAGTAAATATACAGAATGGTTAAATAAACCGATTGCCTTAAAAATTATATAATTTTATTAAAAACCTAAAAAAATAAATTTAATTTACATCATATATTTCTTTCAAAATCAAACAATTTTTGTTAAAATCTTTTCTTTTGATAATTTTTCCCTTATGATATATTCCATTATCGTCATTCAAAGGAAATTCTCGTGTATTATTATCATTTACTATTTGTTCTCATTATTGAATATATCCTTGTTTCCTTGATATTATTGCCCTCTACACTGTCCCTTTCTTTGTACTATTCTTGCTTCATTTATCCTTGCTCTACAAACATCAAGAGTAACATTATGAGCAATTAACTCTGTAATGTACATGCGAGTTTCCAAAGTATTCATGTGGACTACAAATAAACAGTAAAAGGAATAGTTATTAGAAACATAAATATTTTATAGATCTTATAACTTTACATTTCAAAGTTTATTACAGATATTATCTTCTTATGATTATGTTTCATTATGTTTAATTATAGACTAATTTTAAATGACACATTCTAGCTTATATGATTATAATTTTTGAAATAAAAGTGAGATTGAGATATAAAAGGTTTAGGTATTCTTTTTGTCACTTATTTCTTACTATCAATATGAATATTCAATATTATAAACTATATATTGAAAGAAAGCAATAAGATTAATAAAAACACAAAATATCAATATACAAGATTTTTTAATTTACTTTTCAAAATAAATTCTTCGAAATTTAATATAACATTTTATATGATATACTTAATATTTGAAACCATTTTATCTATGTTTAATTGCCTTGTATCATTTTGTTGAATATCAAATAAGAATTGAAATCGTTTATCTTTCAATTTTGTGACAATAAAAAAAAAATATTTGCTAGTGTTAAATCAAAAAAGTAAAGAGAATGATTAATATACCGACAAATTGTTATTTCGTATTTTCATTAGTCTCATTACTTTTTTGTTGCATTGTACATTTGTAAATCGATTTTACAATTAATTACATTTAATCTGAAATCTCTAGACTTTTGTAGAAAGTATTGATTTGCTTTCTCTTTTTAAATTATAATGACTTATGACTCCAGAAACTAATAAATATTTTTTTTTCCAAGTTCAGATTTGTATGTACTTTTCCTTTTAAAATATAAAGTAAATAATTAAACGAAGGAATAAGAAGTACTTTATATTTCAATGATATACAATGAAATACAATTATATTGTTAGAGATAATATGTTCAATAATTTTTTCATACACATGTAATATTATTTGGTGAATATATATAAAATTATTTTTACACATATTGTAAATACATATATATATATATTTAAATTGTATATTTTTAAAGATTTAATTTAATTTTATGATTACATATATGTTATTAAACTATATATTTTTTTAAAATATTTGATTTAATTTTAAATTAGATTTGGATCAGGTTTAGATTAAGTTTGGATTAAACTCGCTTTACAATACCTGAGGAATATTCTAGTTTTATTCATTCTATCCCTTGAGTGTTCCGTGATATATTAATTGCTTCGTGAAGCACCCAAGAGGAAAATTTAGATCAACATCGGAGTATGTTTAATTTAAGTTAGATTTTGTTCGCAATGATGATAAAATTTTCGAAAATTATCATTATTTTTTTCTTTTTTTTTTTAATTTTTTATATAGAAAATATATACAAATATATAAATATTAATGATTATATATTTATATATACAAAATATTAGCATAAATTTTATTAAAATTCACTATATTTAAATAAATATTTGATTAATTCTGTTAATATTTTTAGAAAATTTATCTTCAAATATTGTAATTGATAATAAATCTATTTATCCATATTATTAATCTATCGATTCCTTTCACCTGTAATAAATACATAAATTAATACCACAATAACGTGAAAATTAAAATTTCTGAAACCAGGTTCAAGCATCAATATTATTATTGCAAAAATATGAAAAGATGACAAGACTCTTTACACAAATAAACAAGTATCCTTTGTTGTGCAGATTAATATATTCACAACCACTGGCGTAATATAAAACGCTGCAAATATAATTTTTTACATCACTTTAAAAATAAATAATTAATTGTTGAGCAAAAGAGCAACTATCATACATAAATTTCTTGTGAACATTTATTTTCAATGAGAACGTACCATTATTCGCGTACTATATTTTCTTTCCTTTGTTGGCTTCTTAATTACTAAGAATAGAGAAAAAAAGAAACGAAGAAAATTCCTTTTAAGACGAGTCTTAAAGAAGGCTTAAACGTAAATGAAATTTCGGGTAAATCGTTTCGTCGATGTAGCCGCGTCGACGCTATCAAAGATGACACACATCAATTCCAGACGTCGTCTCAGGTAAAGGTTTAAGAGATGAGAGTCCGTCTTTCAACCGACTGTTTACGAGCCACCGCCCCCAGCTGGAATCTGGCCGTATGCTTCAATTCAACTTGCTCATTTTACTTCTATTCCTCACTGTGTGTCTAAAACGAGAGTATTCAGTTTTCTGGCATCTTTCTTCAAAGAGCCAAAATCTCCTCTAGGCTATGTTGCCCGACCACGCTCGTCAAAGCGGAAACCGTCGTTAAATT